TAAAGATTCTGGATTGAATAATTTTTGTGGATAACCAGCAAAAGAAACGCTTTAAAGTAAGACATTTACATATAAAACTAGTAATTAAAATATTGAACTTTCATTTACTAATAACTTGATAGAAAATCCTGATAATAAATCTTTAGGTATAAAGAGATTTGAAGTTTATGCACATGAATGTATGCCTGAATGTGCTGGATGCACTAACAGTTTTTCTTGTAATTTATGTTCAGTAGGCTAGTATTTAGAAACAGGTAGGTGTATTAATTGTATATTAAATTGCGAAAAATGTACAAAAAGAGATTCCTGTGATTTATGTAAAAGTGGATTTTTTTATAATGATTTCAAATGTGTTTCAGCCTGTCCAAATAAAAAATATAAAAACATTAAAACTAGAACTTGTCATGATTGTTTAGCTAAATGTGCAACTTGTTCTAATGCAAACGGTTGTGACACATGCTTTTGGAATAGATAATTACCTAATTGTGATTGTCCTATTTATCATTACGATAACTCTAATTACTATGATGCTTGTATTCCATGTTCTAATATATCTGATGGATGTTCTACTTGTAATGATACGACTTGCTAAGAATGTCTAGCACCACGTTTTTTAAATGAAAATTCATGTGTAAATAATTGTCCTGCAGGCAAATGGGGTAATACGGCAAATAGATAATGTGAGGATTGTTTAGCTAAATGTGTAACTTGTTCCAATGACAATACTTGTGACACTTGCTTTTCAAATAGAGTGCCTTAATAATGTAATTGTCCTTAATATTCCTATGATCCTAATGCTTTCAATTAAGCCTGTACTATGTGTTCTACTTTTTCAACTGGATGTGCTACATGCAGTACAACTGAATGTCTTACATGTATAACTCCTTATTATTTTTAATTAAACTCAAATGGACAATGTAATTCATGCTAAACTATAATGACTAAAATATATTTTAGTGATGATTTATTGTAGTTAATTATAAATTTTGATTATTATTATACTAATTTGTAAATTCTACTAATTTTAAAAAGTTTAGATTTATAAAACTATTCTTCTTAATTATAATTTACTAATTAACTTTGCATAGAAACATTGGATTAAGCCTTTATTTCTTCTAAATTATAAGGAAATATTTAGTGTTCTTTTGATAAATATTAAAAAACACTTACAATTAAACTTGATTCTGTAAGTACTGTTAATAAGGATGATATAATAAAAATAAAACCTGGCGTATTCAAACTAACAAATAATGGCTTTGATTGCCCTGATTTTCTTTAATAAATAACTGGAAAAGTAATTTTAGACACTAATCCAGTTATTGAGTTAACCTAAACAAGTCCTATTTCGATATGTTAATAAGCATAAATAAGAATATCTAGTATATCTAATTCTGGAAATAGAAAGTTAAAATAAATTACTTGGACACTCATTTCTTCTAATGTAAATACGGCAAATGAAATAACTTAAATAAATAAATTTATCTAATAATAAAATAACTAATTATTTTTAGAAATACCACCATTGTAACTTAAAAAATAAGGATAATACTAATTTTAAGTATATGTAGCTACCGAGTTTGGTCAAGCATCAACTGCAAACACAATAATAGAAACTTTAGCAGATACATCGATTGAAATAAATGCAAATATAAATCCAAATCAAATTTATAGAAGTAGTTTAGTGAATGTGAGTTTGAATTTTAATCTTTTGTAATGTGAAGATAATGGAAAAATATTTTATCATTAAGAAAATGTTTATGAAGTATAAATAAAATAACATGATAATTTAACTGAATAATTAAACATTGATTTTATTTAATAAATTTAAGGAACTTAATTTTAATTTTAAATTCAGCCTTTTATTATGAAAGTGAATACAATATATAATATATAAATAATAGTTTCTTTAAAATCTGATCCTACAATTACTCAATAAATATTATTTCCAATATAAGTTTTTTCTTATCCTCCTTTAGTTTAAATTTTAGGAGGAAATAGGTAATAATATATTTCTTAAAGTTTTGATATATAAGCGATAGTAGATGATCCTAATTTATCCCCAAGTGAAAAAGATTTATTAAAATCAACTAATTATGGAATAACTATAAACTGGTAATGTATAAACCTCAGTACTGGAAATGATTGTAAAGATTCTTCAAATAATTTAATTGTTTCTCCAATTACATAAAACTTATAAATTAGTATATAAAAGAATGTTTTATAGCCTTATTAATAATACTAATTTAAAACATCAGGAACAAAAGACAGTGTAACTTCGTTTGATTAGATAGCAATATTAATGGTTGATTATTTTATTCCTCCTGTTAATCCTAGTATTTCTATTAATAATTCTTAAAATACAATAAATTTAAATTAAGAAATATTTATTTAATTTGATTTTCAAGAAGATACAAATGTTGATGACTTAATAATTACAGGGGCTATTTTATATTAGAATTAATAAGTAAGTATAATATCAATAAATTACATTTAATTTAGATTTAAAGTTTGGGAATATTTCTTCGACTTTTAAAATTAAAATTAATTTGAATTAAAATTTTCAGTAAGAAATTCCAATTTTATAATAGCAACATTAATTTCCTATTCTTTAAATGCTAATATACCTCCATAAGATTGTATTTTTGATTAAACTACAGGCTTTAAAGTTAGAAATATGTAAGATAAATAAATTCTATAAATAAACGGATGTATTGATAATGATTTACCTTTAACTTATTCTTTCTATTTTTATAAAAACTAAGATGATTATAATAATGAATTATTAAATGCATAATATGTTAATAGGTAATTGTTATCTGATTTCTCACCAAATAATAAGATTGAAACTGTTTTACCTTTTGGTGTGTCCTTAATTATGGCAGTAATATAAGATTCGAAAAGAGGAATAAGAAATATAACTTAATAAATTACAGTAAGCCAATATACTTAAGATAGTTCTTCATATTATACATTTATAAATAATTGGTTTACTTAAACATAATAAGATAATTTAAATCAAAATAAAATCATTAATTATAACATGATTATTTATGATATTATTAATCATGTGAGTGTTCTATCATTGCAAACTGATTCTTAGTTTATATAATTATATATTAAAATTTTAGATGAAATTCATAATTTGTAAAATTATTTTTACTAATAAACTGACTCTTTTTACTATTTTCTATAAACAAAAATAACATTAAATTTAATATTTAGTAACTTTCTCAATCAAATAGTATCATAATTAGGATTTGTTAAAATACAAAGTTTTATTAATAACATCGAATAAATAATAACTGATTAATTAGGAATAATTAAAAATATAGAAATTTCTGACACAAAATTATTTTAAAATACTTTTTAAACAGTATAAATTCTTATATTATAAGCATAAATAATTTAAAATATTTATTAAGTTGATAGAAAATAATTTTATTATAAATAAAATTCATTATTAGATAAGTAATATGTTTAAATAATGAAAACCATATCGTAAACATTGAATGCGTTTTTGATTTCAAACGAGAATCCTATAAATGTTCTAAATATAATTTCTACTCAAAAAACAACATATAAGGTTTTAAAAGATAAATATTTGAAACTATTTTCGAATGCATATTATGATAGTATAAATATAGAAAAAAACTAAGAGAATCTATAATTCTATGTAAATTATTTAGAATATCCTTCTTCTGTAATAGCTTATGATGATAATTTCCCTTACCCAAAGAATCACCCTTTTATAATTAATGAAAAGACAATAACTTTTGAATCTAATTAATAATAAATAGCACTTGATATTCCTTTATTCAACATTTACAATTTATCTGAAGCTGTAGATAATGTTGGGAATTATATTTGTATATAAAATATTTAAGGCAAATGGATTTCTAAAAATTGTATACTTTTATATTAAACTAATGACTAAAATCAAATTTATTAATTTATATGTTAATGTAAATCATAAGCAAAATAAACTCTTGTTAATGATATAAATGGAATATTTAATGTTATTCCTATAAATGATTGGTATTTGTATGCTTCTGTGTGGACTTTAGTTGCTACTACTATAATTTATGTAATGCTATTTATATATTTATAATAAATTGATAATATTCAAAACTAAAAAATGTAATAAAGCACAATAAAAAGAAATTAAATCACAGAAATTATTTTTAATAAGGATATTAATGATGAAGAACGAAATAAATAATTAGATAATATTTTAAAAGACAATGAATAAATTTTTTAAATACAAAATTAAAATCTTTTAAAAACTCCTTGTTAAAAAATAAGTATTTTTTAAAATAAATATTATTTATAATAATAAAATTTTTTATTTTTTAACTTACATATTTAAATAAACTTTGGTTTTATATTTTTATCAAAATAAATAATAGAAAAAATAATTTACTAATTAGTTTTACTAAATTATTAAATAAATAATATTAACAACAAATATAATTTTTTTTTTTTATTATTTATACATATTTTTTAATTATATTATTTATATTAATTAAAGATTCTTTTGCTGAATTTTATAAAAACAAAGAATATTTCTAGAGTAATTTATATTGTGAAACCTAAGATTAAGATTAATTATAATATTAAAATATTGCAATAAAAAATAAAAACGATACATAATCAATCAACTTATTAGGTTCTTTGATCTCAAAATAGATATAATCTGAAAAATTACAAGGGAAAATAAAAAAAATTGTACCATTAGAAATTTAATCTAACACTATATAAAATAGTAATAATAATAGGCCAATAACTGAAAATTAATAAAAAGGAGATGATTAATTGATTACATAAGATAAGATAGAAACATTCATTAGACGTAAGATTAGTAAATTATCTTCTTAAAAATACGCAAAAGATGGCTTATAATAAAATAAATTAGAAGATTTCATATAACCTCAAAACGATCAGGATAAAATTTAAGGTCCAGAAACTAATCAGGCAAAACCTTAAAAAAAAACTTTGGTTAAAAGAAAAAAAAATTAAGCTAGTTTAAATCGATTGTAAAATTAATAAAACTAATTAATAAATAAAGATGAGAAAAACAATAATAAATTTGAAGAAAAAACAAAAGATAGCGTTAAATAAGAATAAAAAAGTCAATATAAACTTAGTATATCAGAATAATAATAGCGATAAAGGTTTGAATCAAATCTGTTTACTAAAAGTAGTTCTATATTATAAATAAATAATAAAAGTCCTAATTAGGTTAATGAATTTATTATTTTGTAAAAATTTTTAAAAAAAAGTAAAATTGTTTAAGTTATAAGTTTACATGAATTAATTTAAATATTTATTCTTTTTGATTAATTTTTAAGTAGGCCTTTTAGAATAACTTAATAGTATGTCAAATGTATTATTCTTATTACTGCCAATTCTATTGTATTTAATGATTTAAAAACTACCTTAATAATATTAGATAATTCTTTATTATTATTAAGTATTAAATTATTCATTATTTTAATTGAAAGTATCTACAAATAAATAAAAAAATATACAAATATATAATTTATCTCATTTTCTTTTCTATAGTCATAATTTGCATTTAGATTATTTGTATTAGTATTTAAAATAAATTTTATAATAAATACAATAACTGGTTGCCTTTTTATTTTTTAGTAATTTTATTTGATATTTTTATTTGTTAAATTATTTCTGCATTTATTAAATATAAACTATATATTTATTCTTGTCTAGTTAATTAAAAATGCTATAAGATTTAAATGATGTTATTAAATATTCTTAAGTTTGAAAATTTTTTAATGAATATATATGAAAAAAAATATTAAAAATGAAAATAATAAAATAATTGTTATATTTTTAATTTTTATAATCAAATATCAATCTTATTAAATTTTAAATATACATTAAATAAAAAAAAAAAATATTTAAATATTAAATATAATCAATAATATTTTATTATTTACTAATTTATTATATTAAAAATTGTTGTAAATTAATATTTTTTATATAAAATAGTAGTATAAAATGATTATTAAATATATATAATTTGTATATTTACTTTTTAAATATAAAAATTACGGAAACAATTAAATATTCTTCTTGGATTTTAATTATAAATATTTATACAATAAATAAATAAATATTAAAAAATTAAAATACATATTTTTATTTTATATGTATAAACTTTATATATATTTGTTAGATTTAATAATAATATTATATAATACTTATACTTATTCTAAAAATTAAAATTATTTTATTTTGTAAAACTATATCAACGAATTCTTAATAATTAATAATGATTTTAAAATTAATATAAACTTATAATAATTTTTTAATAATATAAAAAAATAATAGAAATGTTATTAATTATTAATAAAGTTTAAATATTTTCATTTTAATAAAATTTATATATAAAATAAAGCAAATAATATATCTTACCAAAACAAAATAAATATCAATAATTAAAGTTGTAAATTTTAATGTTTTTTTCTATATATATTCATTAAAAAGATTTCTAAATTAAGTGTTTTAATTAACTTCATTTTAATCATATAGCATTTTTAATTAATTAGACTAGTAACATATTAAATAATTAGCTTGTACTTAATAATTGCAGAAATATTTTAATAAATAAAAATATCAAAAAAAATTACTAAAAAATAAAAGGCAACTAGTTATTGTATTTATTATAAAATTTATTTTAAATACTAATACAAATAATGTAAAAGTAAATTATAACTATAGAAATAAAAATGAGATAAATTAAAAATTTAAATATTCTTTTATTCAATTTATAAATACTTTCTATTAAAATAAAATTAGCTATTATTATTAATACAGTTTTTAAATCATAAAATATTATAGAATTAGCAGAAATAAGAATAACATATTTTAAATATTATTAAGTTATTCTATAAGGCCTACTTAAATATTGATTAAAAAGAATAAATATTTAAATTAATTCATGTAAACTTTTAACTTAAACAATTCTACTTTCTTTTAAAAAGTTTTATATAACAATCTAATTATAAAAAGAAATTTTATTATTTATTTGTAATAAAGAGCTATTTTTAGTAAATACATTTGATTAAACTTTATATCGCTATTATTATTATGATTAAATAATTTTATTTAGACCTTTTTAAACTTAATTGCCACTAACATTTGTTTTTTCTTCATATTTATAGTCATTTTTCACATTTTCATTTATTTATTAGTTTAATTAACTTTACAATCGAATCAAACTAACTTAATGTTTTTTTCTTTTAACTTTGATTATTTTGATTATTTTCATGGTTTTAAATTTTATCCTAATCGTTTTAAATTTATATGCCATCTTCTTAGTTATTTTATTATGTATTAACTTTAGCATATATTTAAGAATTTAATTTACTAATCTTATGTGTAATTAATGTTTTTATCTTATCTTCTGTTATCAATTAATTGTTTCCTTTTTATTTATTTTCAGTTATTAGCCTACTTTTATTTTCTATTGTATTAGATTAAATATTTAAAGGCATTATTTTTTATATTTTCCCTTGTAATTTTTCAGATTATAGATATTATGAGATCAAAAAACCTAATTAATTGATTGATTATGCATTGTTTTAATTTTTTATTATAATATCTTAATACTATAACACTTAAATACTTTAGCAATTTTTTTTAAAAAAAAAAAATCAGCTAAAGAATCTTAAAAAAATAAAAAACATAAAATAATTAAAAATAAAATTGATTTATTGTTATATTAGTTATTTCATAAATTTTTGGTAAAAATATTTGTAAAAATATTTTTTTCCATTATTTTATTATAAAAAAATAAAATATTTTATTATTATAAATAATATTTATTTTAAAAAATACTTATTTTTTAACAAGGAGTTTTTAAAAGATTTAAATTTTGTATTTAAAAAATTTATTCATTGTCTTTTAAAATATTATCTAATTATTTATTTCGTTCTTCATCATTAATATCCTTATTAAAAATAATTTCTGTGATTTAATTTCTTTTTATTGTGCTTTATTACATTTTTTAGTTTTGAATATTATCAATTTATTATAAATATATAAATAACA